TCACCTCCAATTCCACCGAAGCAACGTCATGTTATTCAATATATGCAGGTGACTTCATTTGATTGTTTACTGATTACTACTAACTAAATATAGTTATATGTAGTATCTTGTCGAATCTTCTTGTTTCATCCCACCTGTACTGTTAATTTAAGGTTATGATTGAACTAACCTGAAATCAGAAGTGAAGCTGAAATTGCAGACTTTTGGAAACAAAAGCGAAGATCAGGACGACTTCTTCAAGGGCTCAACACTTGCTTCATACATTGTGTTGAACGATAATCTACGTTATCATGAGGAACAGTACAAGAAACGAATTTCATTCGAATTTTCATTATCCAGTTTGCTTTTTCTCCCTTCAGATTATTCTTATTTTCCCTCTTCCTTTCATTCCATCCCCCCCGTTAATTTTTCGCTATATTTTATATCATCTATCTGATTTAGCATAGTCGGCACATGTATGAAAATCATTAAAGATTCATTAGTTTCATGTTGGCAGATCAATAAAATAGTTTAGTTCATTTTTACTCTCAACTTACTATATCAGTTTCATAGCACGAATTAATTTCTGCAGGAGCAGCTGTGTCAAGTCAGAACTTCTCTGATTTGAGCCAACTGTTACAGTACACTGAAAATGACAGAATTATACTGCCAAAACGATATATGGATGAGGTATAAGAGTAAAAGGATCTTCTTCATTATATATTTCGAACTTAAATTGCTTATTTCTATTAAATAGTATGTCATTTGTACTGAAATATCGCCTTATTTCACGCAACAAAGTTTTAATCCTCTCTAAAAAGAGGTCTTTAGCATGTGGGGAACAATTCCTCCGAAATTTTAATTGCATACTCATTTAAGTCTCCGAACTTCTCAGCCGCCTTTTTCGTTACTAGCCGGATGCATGCTTATCATTGTCGTTTGGCCTTACGAAAGAGTTTTATGATGTCGGCTGCTTGGCCACTTCCCTTAACTCTTAGTCTGATTGTCGGAAATCTGGCTTTCTAATTACTTCCTCAGTATCCGTACCCATTTAAAAACTGTCTAATTATTCCTGATAAACGTCTTAATGGGGTGTTAAACTAGATTTCGAAACAGGAGTTTCCAATTTTTGTTTTCGGAAAATTAAATATTTGAAAAGTTTATCATCAACTGTTAGCAAATATTTGCTATAGAATGAACCCGTCTCGAAAGAAACAACCTCGCTGTCATCTTCGGAAGCCCCAGAAATTTTGGAATGCGTTGATGTGACAGACTGGCTAATGCTACGAGCACACGATGCGGTTTCCAAACCCAACGAAGTAAGCTTCCTTTGTTCGTACTGCAATACAATTAATTATACGCAAGCCTCTTTTCATTTCTCTATTGCAAATCGTTACAGGTTCGTGGTGGACCTAAAGACGCATTAATTGCTTTTGCGACGCAGCCTTCAGGATCATTACTTTATCAAGAGGCTTTTCTCACAACATATCGCAGCTTTGTTGAGTCGGATGAACTTATCCAAAAATTGATTAAAAGGTATAAGTTGGAATAGCTCCTCTCTTGGATCTGGCATACATATCTAAATAATGGTTATATATCCAATTAAATTTGCTGGCAGTAATTTGTTCAAATGAAAACTTCTTCGATCATATACCTATATTATTAGAAAATAATTCGTTGATGGATCTCAAGGCTTCATGTATTTCACGTTTTTTAGAAGCTCCAAAATGTTTAGGTATTTGTTTATGTGTACCGTAAAAGAACAGCAGTCAGTGAAAGTGGCTCGCCAAACTTTTTCAATATTGGTACGAGTAGTTGATGAGTTGTGCGCGGTGGAACAAACACGAAAACTTATTCGTCTAATTACAAAATTCATAAATCGCCTTGTTAAGGACGAAAATTACACCTTTGCAAGGGTTTTGAGGTTATTCTCTTTTTCATAAATATAACGAAGAGCTGAAAGTGATAATAAAACGTTGCTGCAATTTTCTATTTTGAGAATGCTTCCAGGAGAAGACTAATGTCACGAATGGACCTAAAGTCAACACAAATGGCCACATCAAAGGAGAGAATTAATATGAGAGGACTGAATTCAAGGTGTGTTTTTATTCCTCTTATCTCTTATACTTGCAGAATTCATTTATAACATTTTCTACTTTAGGCATCTAACAATATTTGATATTCGCTCTGCAATTATCGCCAAACAAATGACTTATTTGGATGCAGAATTGTTCCATATGATTGAGGTGAAATTTGAAACTTCAGTTGTAAATCTTGAAGAGTAGAAGCATGAAGACGTAGCTGGAGGATTCCTATCACCACTTACTCTTCTTCCAGACAACGGAAGATAGAAATCTTGATATGCTTATATTTACGGTTCCAGAAATCTTGACACATTTTTTATGAAACGAACAACTTCGTTTCGTCAGCTAAGGATACTTTCAGCCAGCTGAAATGCTTTGGTGGGCACAAGAACAAAACGAGAAAAAAAGCCCAAACTTGTGCCGTTTTACCGAGCATTTTAACAAGGTAAGAGATACATTATTTCACTGCCATTGTGTTCACCATTTAAAAAGATGATGAGTATTATCTATTAGAAGCGACGATATAAACTTCCAAATTTCAGTCTATCAAGAGCTCGGTTCTGGCTTCAGAATATTTCCTGATAAAAAAATGAAAACGAATATCATTAATTTTGTTCATTTCTAGAACTAATATGTAATTAAGTTAATGCACCAGAAAAAATAGTTTCGTTACCCTGACTACTTGGTTAGTCTATGATGGGAAGTGTAATCACACTGATGAGACGGTCTCAGATCCTACCATTCCGGTGTTAAGGACAGACTTGACCTCCAATATGCAACTATAATTGCAGGTCGAGGGAAGAACCCCATCAAATCTTTTCCACAGTAGTACATCCTCATCAAATATCTTCTCCACAGTAGCACAGTAGCACAAAATTTGTTTCAGGTCTCATACTGGGTCCGAACTCTCGTCTTGACACCAAGTGAGCAGAAAACACGTGAAAAAATGATGTCGAAATTTGTCAAAATAATGAAGGTGTCTTTCTTGAACAGATACTTGTAGCCTTTCAGGGTTTACCTACGTCAGATTGCTTTAAATAGGCCATGAAGGGAGTAAAACATGGAAGATACATCTCATTTAGGATCCTGCTAAAGACTAATATGTAATTAAGTTAATGCACCAAAAAAATGATTTCGCTACTCTGACTACCTGGTTAGTCTATGATGGGAAGTGTAATCACACTGATGAGACGGTCCCAGGTCCTACCATCCCGGTATGAAGGACAGACTCGACCTCCAATATGCAACTATAATTGCAGGTCGAGGGAAGAACCCCATCAAATATCTTCTTCACAGTAGCACATCCTGCGATATCCTTGGACTGTGTGAAACGCGTCGAAAGGCGGAAATTGACGTGACCTGGAGAATAGTAACCATTTGAGAGCGGATGAAAAGTGAAGAAATACTGTAGTAACGTTCCACTGACACTCAGTTATGTTCGCCGTTGGTGGACATATTTCCTTCTTTTCCTGTTAGGTAACACCAACACTCCTAGAATCATCTAGGTTCACACATCACTTGAGCCTTACTACAAAACTTGAAATGATGAAAAGACCGCAAGAGGGTACTTTGGAAAGCCTAGAATTTTGAACGAAACAACAGATGTGATCAAATGACAATGGCAGGGATGGTGACAAAGGTCAAGGTCCTACCAGCTGTAAACATGGTTCAGTGAGAGAATGAAGAGGAGACTAGCTTGGATTGAGTTGAATGCAAAAATAGCAAGTTGATTAAACTTGTAGATAAGTGATGCGTGCCAGTACTTTTCTTTTGTAGTATTTTCATCCAACAAAAAAATCATTGCATACTATGTAAAAAATACGACTGGATAGTGAAGGGAACGATGATCTATGAAAACTTCTTTAGAATGTAGAAAAAGTCAAGCGCAATCAGAAAGGCTGTCTAGAATCTTAAGCGTTGTATATCTTGAGAGGAAAAAGTCTATAAAAGGAGAACAAAACTTGAATGCTCAATTCTCTGTTCCGTAAAATAATCGGAAAAAAGTTGGAGAATCTTGACAGTTCATTGGAAGTTGGATTTATATGAGTATATCGAGAGTGACGGAAAGAGAAAGCGTGGAGTGCGGGAAGAAACTGATGCTGCTGCAGCCATACCATTCTAGAAGTGGAACCTGTTTCGAGTATATAAAAACGCAAAAGATCATTCGAATGGCATTCAAAAATTAGGTAGGGTGCTCATTGGAAATAGAAATGTAAATCTCGGGAGATAACTTGTCATGATTTTGCTCAGCGCATAACTTTATAGTAGTAATTTGTTTGTTTTTGGAACCCGAAGATGACCCCACGGATACTTAAATCGAAACTGAAATGAATAAGGTGAAGAATAAGCCATGTAGCAAAGAAGTCTTAGTCGTTGCCTTAAAGATGCTCAGGTAACTTGCCTCCGAATTTCAAGATATTTCTAAATGCAGCATTTGCGCATTGTGGGGAATTACAATTCCTATTTGGCGATCTTATCAGCACTAGATTCGAGCCCCATCCGGAGACTGGATTGGTCCAAACATATCACCGATCTCTTGAAAGAACATTCCGTTGTGATGGACAGCTCACATTCTTTCAAAAATTATCGCACATTGCTGGGCGAAAGCCGTCCCCCATGTTTGCCTTACATGTAAGTTCCAATTTTCAAAACTCGTAATTTTTTTAACATGTAATATGTTATTCAGAGGAAAGAATAAATTAAATGGAGAAGTCGAGTATTTCCCATCCAGCGTCATCACACATTTACCCATTAAAAGATAATTTGCAGAGGTCTTGTTCTGCAAGATCTAACATTTGTACATATCGGGAACAGCGATTATTTACCGCCAGAACAAAGCAATGGTAGGAAGAATCTCCTAAACTATGGCAAAAGATGGCAACAGTTTGCAATTCTGGACAGTGTCCGATGTTTCAAAAGCTGGTAAGCTATGATTTCATAGGGATGATACTGTTCATTTCATTTCCTGTTTCATATAATTGACTGTTGTCCTTTCGCGTGAACTAAGAGGAAAATTTCTTAACCAAAAATATAGTATTTCAGGATAGGAAGCAATAAGCACCTTTTGCAGGAATTACTCGATAGAAAAGGATGAAAAGGTTATTCAGTTCTTTAATGGATTCAACAATTATTTGAGTGAAGATGAGATCTGGGATCTATCAGAAACAATAAAACCGCGAACGCGAAAGAATAAATAAATCATCTTCTGAGATATGTTATCTAAAAACACTGGGAATGATAAAATCATGTATTATGCGAATGTTTATTGGCAACTTATTACATTGCATTGGAAAAAATTCTAATTATCGAAATCGATTCAAAGTATAAAAAATTCTATCATCATTACTGCATTCGATTGATCATAGTTTTACTAGATTAATTAATTGCTTACACAGGCCTTATAAAAGATATTGTAGAAGATGATTCCATCTTCATGAATTTGTCAAAATGGTTACTTTATTGGTGCTCTAATGGAAAGTTCATTGGATTGATTTTTAGATATACAACTCTTCTGATATCATTGTACAATGACGATGATTCAGTGAATCATTAAACGGGGTTATAAATATATGCTAAATCATAAATATGCAATTCTTGGAATTCCAGAAGGAATTCTCCTGTGAAGTATAACAAGCAAGTAACAGTAAGGCAGAAACCCAATGGAATCAACGGTACATCATCAAATACGGGAAGATGATGGAAAAAGGGTGGATTCTAGGCAATAAGTATATACCGAAATCAAATGTGCAACGATGATAAGGTTTCTCTCCTTCAGTACAACGTTTCCTGTATAAATAGACGTTTGCTTCTCGGCAGATCTTTCTTTTTCACATTTAATTGGAAATTGCTTGTCAGTAATGAAACAAATAAAATCAATTTATAGATATATAGGAGTGGAAGCGGTACTCTCTATGCTTGAGAATCATTTCCCAGCAGTTCGGAGATCATTACTGATATGGCGAAGAGTGGATTTGCTCCCTGTCAATAGATAAGAAAGCAAAGGATGCGTGAACAAGAAACAGATCACGTCAGGTTGGACAATTTTACATTTCCCCCGGATAAACGTATTATCGTTGACGATTGCATCTGGATGGAACAGAGTGATCATATATCTCTGTGAATACTTCAACTTCCAGATAGTGAGAGACGAACAGAAGAACTCGAGGAGCCATAACACTTCACTGAGACATGAAAATGGTTCAATGGTTTGAGTTCATTTCGCTTAGGCAATGAACAAGCACCAGGAACCCGTAGAAGACGGAGTGTGTAAGGTGCAGAGGAGAGTTCTCACTTCATGGGTGGGTAAGTGTGTGTTGACGACGTTAGTGAGTGGAAGTGTGCGCCGATACGTTTTTTCTCATTCCATCTCTGCGTGTATTTCGAAGCTACATGTGTGAAATAGAAAAGAATGAAAGAAGGGAAGTGAGGGAGCGGAGAGTGTCGCGAGTGACATTCACGGACAGGCGGCAAGTACTAGCAATATTTGTATAGGCTTGCTTCACGATATCAAATCAGAAGTTTCATCATTCTCCTGGAGCACACTGTATTATTTAAAACTAATTGTTATTAAGTGATTTTGGGATGTTGTACGCTGTTAGTGGGTTATTCTTTCTCAGGTGGAAGATTTCCTTTATCGTCGATTTCAGTATATTCCGGTCATTTGATCATTTTCAGTATTGGATTTTGTTTTGTTAGTGGAAGAAAAAAGTAAATAGCCTTTTGCTGATATGGACGATAACAATTCAAGCCAGGAGGCTGCTATTAGGCAACAACGATTAATGGTGCAAATTAAAGCTTGAAAAAATCATCTCTTAACAATCCTCAATGAGTGAACAAATTCGCCGTTCATGAGGCTCTCTCGTAGGTCCCGCATTTTTGTCACATTCCCAACGTCTCCCATCTCACATTTTTAAAATAGAATTTCTATCGCATGAAATTGACCATTACATATGGATAGCGAAACTTACAAATGCCACTTAAGGCCACCCACGAAGTTCTCAGACACCATAATTGATGGCGCTCGCCTATAGGTCATCTTCAAGCAATGAGCTCCGCTCAGGAATACAGTTAATGAAGAAGCAACAACATCTTATCCTATCCAATGATGTTACCTTAACTCTATGGTCCTTGTTTCGGCTGTCACTTTATTTTATCACTACCTGGAGATATTCGGGAATAAATATTTGATCACTGGCTCAGGTTAGTATTAAGGTCTGGTGGTAGTATCAAACACTGGTGAAATTTCCGCGCTTGAAAATTTGAGTTAGGAGGGCTTTTAACAATTACGGGAAAGTAGCCCCTCAGCATTTATATATTCTTCATTACACAGTTTACAGAAGCATTAACGTGAAGGTCTATTATGCGTGATCGAACTTTGCTTTAATAAGATACCTCGCAACTTGATGAAGATCACTGTATATTTTTATTATTGAGGCCGGTAATGTCGCTTCACATTTTTGCATCCATCTTTCCTACTCCATGAAACTATTAAATAACAAGGCTCACTCTGTCATTCGGGTAATTTCTTTTTACATTTCGGATGAGGAAAGGTGCTTATTTATACAGGAAAGATTTACAAAAACAGTTATTATTTAAGGACTTTATTTTTCAATGGTTCATAAAAATTTAATTCCTAACAATTTTACTTTTGATCTTATCCATCTCATCTATAAAAGACGGATGGATGGAAGATATCTGGAAAACAGAGAAGGACCTCAAATATTTTGATACATTCTAGTGTATGAAATTCGGTTACTGGCATGGATCTTTAAGAAACATATATCGGTGCTTGTCTTAACATTTTTTTTTCCTCTTTTTCGTTTAAATTTCTATAAATCTTTAAGTTTTTTGACATTTCTACACTTGACAAAAACTCTAATTTCAGCTCCTAAAATTAGATGGTCTGAAAAAGGATCAATTTCACGAAATCAAAAATCCTCATTTAAGAGTAATGTAAGAATAGATACTAATTACGCTAACCTTTCAAAAAGGTTGTTGCATATCCTCAGTGGACGAAGATAGCCATACGTTGTAACGACACATCATAGAACCCAACAATACGTCAGGATTAATTTCATCGAGAATTGTTTTTTCCGTTAAGTTGTTCGTGCTAACTTTATCATCCTCCTTATTACTTTTAGCTTTAAACTCTGAATGATTTGCAACATCATAACAGATAGATATTGAAATAAAATCTTTTTGCATTAGAAGTCATATTATGCAAATTTAACCACATGTATTCTTCACATCATTTTATTATTTTAAAATTTCAAATAGTTTCCTAACTAATGGACCAAATAGTGCCTCTTCATATGTCTCATGCTAGATAGATTTAGGATATTAAAGGTCATCGGTAATATCGTTGTACATGACAACGAGAGTGTTATTGTAACAAAAAAAAAAATCATACAAAAGTTCTCTACCAGTAATTTTGAATCTTATAATGTTCCAATTTTATAACTTCGAACATTCTCACCTAAACTAATAATGTCCTAGAATAATTATTAATGACGTCCTTATTTCATGATTGAACTTTAATTTCGCATCATTTGTCCATGCTGAAGATCAAGCTCTCAAATATGAACTAATGAGTATTACTGCAAAATTTGTTTGTAAAGAAGCACTATCAATTGATGTGCAGATGCTTTTAATGTTCTCCAATACTGCTAATTATGGTGATATGTATTGGACATTTTTGAAAATGAAATAACTGTGATTCGAAGGATATATTCAAAAAAAAGAGCATATGCATGTGTTCTTCTTTTTTCTCTTTCTCTTTTTCTTATTTTCGAGAAAAATTAGAAATGATCACCGATGTTTACACCGATGTTTCACCGATGCTTCACCATCTATACGTTCAGGAAAATCCCTATTAAATAAATTATTTGAATTCTAAAAATCTCTATGGTAGTTTGTAATTGTTTGCTCAACTTTTTTTTGCAGAACCGATAATGAAATTGATTCAGTTTAGCATATTTTTCTAAACGTTTTCAAAAGGATATTTCTTTGTCTTTGAAGATTCTAAAAAGTTGTATTTAAGTTGACTACTGCATTAAAGGCCGCCCTTTTGTATTAAAAATTCCTGAAGCTCTTTTCTGCAGCGACACTCCCTCACCATCAGTAGATTTGTTGAGTTATTTTCATCAGGCAAATAAACATGAATTCTAAGAATTGTCGCCACATTATTGTTGAAAGTCTAACTGAAAGCTTCAAAGATTCTCAAATAGTTTTTTAGACTTTAACGAAACACGAAGGAAACATCCAATGAGAAAAACTTCCGAATGAAAACCTTTGGATTCTGAAATTAAGATAAATAGTATTATCATACGTGGAACTATAAGATCACACCATTTAAAACGCAATAATTATCTGAAAAGTAGTTCAAGCATTTGCAACACAGGATTTATCATTTATTTATAATATTTGGCGACTATGATAAAAATTACTAGAATGATAGATGAGTAAAAAGGAAAGTTTGGAGAGGCACGATAGTGTATAGAGAAATCAAAATTTGTCAAAGAATTTCGAATTTCATTCGGATTATTTTGATGGGAAAAACTACTGATAGGCTTTCTTAAAATGAAATATGGATATTAAAAGACCGTGCAACCTTGGAAGCACCACAAATCGCTTCATACAAACACATGTTACAAAAAAGAGACAGAGAAGGCACGAAAATACCTCGAATTGGTGGTTATCACAAACATCATACTGAAATTTTGTCAGTCAAGATTACTTTTTGCAAATTACAGAAAACTGATTCTCTGTTATTGGGCACACAGCTTGAATTCTACTTTAGCGGCAGTTACGAATACTTAGAGATGTTTTTTGGGGAAAATCTCCCCGTCGCAAACACAAATAAACTACATCAAGCGGTCGATTTCTTCTATTTAAGCAGGGAATCGACGAATGATACAATTTTTGTGAAAACAGCGGTGATTTCATGGCCTATCAGCTAGCTAAACATCCAGTCCTATTTTGCATCATGATATATAACTGATCAAAATGCACACATAAATATTTACACATCTTGAATGAAATAAAACTCGTTGCAAAGACTGAGACGAGAGAAATGTGCGAAATTGTAATCACAATAATAGTTCTAATCGCACTTATAACACTGACCATAATTGTGATTAAAATCATAATTATAATTGCGGTAACAATCATGATTCTAGGCATAGTTAAAATCGCGGCTGCAGCCCATATCATAACATCAATCGCGATTGTAATCATAACCACAATAAAAACCATGATTGTGGTTATAATCATACTTATAATTCATAATCGTAGTTATGGTTACAGTTACTTTCATAATCATAATTGCATTCATCACCATAACAATAATCGCAATTACAATTAATACCATAACCGCAGTTATAAAGTTATGAAAATTTTTGCTGCCATTGCTGATATAATTATGATCAGGACTAGATTGATGATTATAATTACCACAATAATGACAATTATAATTTGATTACTCCTACACATACCATCCAATAATACATTATATGTTTTTAACTTTCTTACTTGTTTCCGCAATCAAGTCATTGATTATGTTCACCGTTTTTGCAGAAGTTTTGCCTTGGACAAAGCTGTCATGATCGCCTTCTACGATGTACACCTTGTTCTCGTCGGATACCTGCAATAGTCTTCCTGTTTTTTTTCCTACCAGATTGCTCTACTTCAATTTTGGCACAGCATACAACAAACATGACGGGAGCACTTGAAACTAAAACTCCTAAAAAGCAATCATTACCTGTGAAATGCCGTAGTCAGAGCCAACATCCTCCTCTCTTGCCGCTCCTTGTTCTGCTCTTATTAGAGTTATCAGTCCTTTAAATTTTCGTTCTGGTTTGTACCTAAATGGTTTTCCAATTGAAATTAATCTTTGATTCTTTCGGATTTTTAAAACTAATCATGGACTTGTTGCTGAATTCATAATTGTTTAGATGCAAAACTCATCTAAGACCTCTAGTATTTTGCCCAAAGGTGGATCTGCGTATTGCAATAACTTACTTATCAGCCATAACAAACTTGGAACGCATCGCACAGCATGCGAAGTCAATAGTATCAGCCGATTTGAAAAGGCCTGTCGTCATTACCGTATCCACAACCTTCTAAAAAACATTTCATGAGTTTTAAACCATGCAAAAAGCCCAGAACTTTAGGATTTGACAGATAAAACATAAAATGTTTTAATTACGTTAAGAAGCGTAGATGCTGAAACTAAGGAAGCACTGCAAAAGTGTGACCTGAACGCGCGCTTTAAATCCTGGCTGTTGTAGTAATTCAACTCGGAACTTTTTATAATCGACATTTGCAAAGCGTAGCGTCATAGCGCACATTATTTCTGATTCAAACAGCGGATTATTAACGAGTGTGTCACCGGTCACGCCAAATGCCATTCGATAGACCTTTAATTCATGAAACTGTAAAATTACTTGACCAGTAATTCTAAAAATTGGAAATAAATAAAATTGAAAATCAAACTGCAAAAAAAACGGACATTTCGATAAGTTTGCATATAAAGATGAGATCCATCAAGTAATATAAGTTTTTCAACGGAGTCCGCACCATCGCTTTCCTGGAGCATCGTTGCCATTTCAAAACCAATGCAAGCACCGTAAGAATAACCTATTATCCGGTATGGCCCTTCTGGTTGTATCTTTTTCATTTCCTGCAAAAAATTTCATATGTATGATAGTAATCATCGTATATAATTGATGAATTCTGCGTTCATTAGCACATTTACATGCATGCATGCATACATACATACATACATACACATATATATATGAACAGACACACACATTTATATAGACACATACACACATGCACAAATATAACGACATACAAATATAAACTTCACGTTACCAATGCATACTGAACATACTAACAATGTTTTGAAACATATACCAATATATATTTCTGTGCAACTTTCTCAATCGAATCTTGTGGTACTTCCCTAGTTGACTGGAAGCAGTATGCCGGGAAGTTGCACTTCGACATAACTTTCTTCAACGGTGTAGCAATTCCTTCTATTGAGTGCACAAAGAAAGTTGGCGGCCCACTTTCAACTTTGTTACATTTTACTATGAGATCCATTGGTTCAAGGTCGTTTACATCTACCCTCATCCTAAACAGATTTCAACATGATGTTATTTGAAAAATCAGGAAAGAAATTTTAACGCTTAGATGCACGTGGACAGCATTGCGGTGAATGATTAAAGTTTTACTGATTCGAAACAGAACCTGAGACAATCATTTTCGAAATAAAAAAAGTCAAAAAAATTACTTGAATAACTGATTCATCTGCCTTTCAAGTTGTTCAACAGTGTTTTGTTCAGCCTCCTTTTCACTTTCTTTCTTCAATTCAAGTTCAGTTGTTTGTAACACCGTTGAAGATGTACCACCGGAATCTACCAATTGTTGGAGCTTATTTAACGTCAACTAAAAGTATTGCATTGAAGATCTCAAGAAAATAGCAGATCACAGCACTTTACACTACATTTTCCGTGGCATGCTTTCTTGTCTCATAGATTAGTATATAAGTATATTGATGTCTTTATTATATTTAGAACAGCTGTGATAATATCATAAATTTGACAAGAGTCAGAAGACATCAAAAATACTTACAGACGTTTAATCAACTTATGTACTACGACAGTATTAGATGAAACTCACCGTTCTAATATCTTTCATAGACAAAACGATGTCATAGTCTCGTTCAAGAGCTTGTTTAATTTCAACGCCCATAAGTGAATCGAGACCCAAATCACCTAAGTAAGCATCTGGATTCAGTTGCGCTGAATCACTCACACCCAGAATATGGGCCATTGTTTGCCACAAATTCCCACTACTTCCTACTTTTTTAGCACCAATATCCGCCTTGATATAGCTGAAATTAAAGTTAACCAAAGAGTCTTGCTTTCAATTTATGCTCAGACAAATAGTAATGCGTATTGTACATAACCGACTTATGCAGGAAAGGGTGTAATGAAAACCTGGCAACAATAGGATGGTTCCAGGATAAGAATAAATCCAAAGCAGCCAAGCAAGAAGGCATTCGTTGTGGTAAAGTACCACCAACAACAGTATTATTATCACCCATATTTTCCAGAATAACTCCTACGTCACCAATAGCTCCCCATTGGATTGCGATTCCCGGATAACCGTCTTCTCGACGATGTTCAATGATCCTTTCCATTGTACTATTAGACCAACCATAATTTGTTTGTCCAGCATTTCCACGTCCCGAAGTGATTGACGAAAATGCGACAAACCTAAATTTTAGAGAATTGCATAATATTTTTTTTTCTATCCCAAGTATTTACCGTCATTAATAGTATATAAATAATCAGAGTTTTCAAATTTCCAAGTATTGAAGAAGAAACGTATAACAGCAATTTTTTGAACAAATACAAAGAACATCGTTCAGAAATGTTGATAT